TGAATGGAGCTATCATTGTAGGTTCATGGATTCAGGAGAAACTTTTTGTGTGAAAATCTCCAACTGTTCTCAAGTTAGCCCAACTTATAGGAAAGAGGTATAACCCAGTGCAGCAGTGTAGGAAGTTCTTGGTTTTTTTTTAAAAAAAAGATAGTATATTTTTTTCTCTATTGAAGATTAAATAGTCCAGGAGAAAATCTTCACACTTACGTCTTGCCATCACTGATGGAATAACCTTCTGAACACGGAGCTTCTGCCTTCAAAATATCATTGAAGATCAAGGACTGCAGAGAACAAAACCAGAACAGTTTGGTGTGATTTGATTTGAGTTTACTTTGTTTGTTTGTTTGTATATATTAGGTATTGCAAACTATCATAAAAATACAAGTTCCAGGTGTAGCTATAAAAGAAGAGACAGAACTTAAAATATATTATCCATTTAGCTTTCATTAGCCACTGCTAACATTGTTGAAGTGTAAAAACTACCATTGAAGAGACACGCTGACAATGTTACCAGAGGCTAAAAAAAAAAAAATGGAAAAAAAAAAGGCTAACAAAAGTTAATTGGATAATATATTTTAAGTTTCGGAGATCGTGATGTCTGTCTCTTCTTTTATGTATTATGTATGTATTTTGAAGCCTCCCTTTGGCAACTGTAACACTTGTGGACTTCAACTCCCAGAATTCCTCAACCAGCATGACTACTGTATTTTTCGGAGTATAAGACACACCTTTTTCCCTCAAAAAAGAGGCTGAAAATCTGGATGCATCTTATACACCAAATACAGAATTTTTGCCTCCCAAAAGTGGCTATGGGTAAGATCAGTGTTGGTCGAGCTTGGCAACTTGAAGAGGGGTAGACTTCAACTCCCAGAATTCTCCAGCCAGCTATGCTGCCTGTGAAATTCTTGGAGTTGAAGTTCACGCCTCTTGAAGTTGCCAAGGTTGAAAAACTCTGCATTACATGTGGAAGAAAGACATTTTTTTGCCAGAAAAAGACTTACCAAACCCATTTTAATCCAAAGTGCATCCCAACTAGCAACCTGCTTATGAACTTGGAACAAATACGAAAACATCCTGGGTTTAGATGGGAAGAGGGGGTGGGCCGCTGGGGGCTCGCAGGGGTTCAGGAGAACCTCTAGCTAAGATTCTGTGCAGTTTGGAGAACCCCCAAATCCCACTCCTGGTTGGCCCTGCCCACCCCTCCCCGGAGTCCCCACGCAATCTGTTTTCAGGGCGCATGCAGAGGCTCAGGGAGGTGAAAAACAGGCCTATCGGAAGTTCGGGAAGGCCTCCAGAGGGCCTCCAGAGCTTGGAGAGGCTATTTTCTCCCTCCTGGAGGTTCAAGGAAAGCCCACCATGGTGCAGGAGGCCATGGGCACGCTTACCATGGCCACACCCACCCAGAAACCAAGCAGAAAACCCATTGGTAAAAGTTTTGAAGCCCACCCCTGATGGGAAGTCGTTGCGCAACCATGAAAACAGTCACTATTTCTCCCTAGATATCTTCCCCCCTGCAGCTTTCCCCTGTCTTACATAGTCTAAAGGTATTGGAATAGAAGTTCCATCAGCAACCAGACCCCAAAAAGGAGATTTCTGGGAGCTGCTGTCCAATACAACTGGAGAACCAGGTTGGGATAGTCATGTTAATGTTTGAAGCGGGAGATCTTCCTTTGATCTCCAGGAAGCTTCCTTCGGTTCCCAGCTACATTTGCTAAGATGTTGCTAAGATATATTTTTTAATTAAACTTGGTCCCAGAAAGGTGTTGTCTCAAACGGAAGAACACCAAAAAGAGCTTGATGTGGATTGTTTTGTATCCTGAAATCTACCCAGCTTTCTTTAGGTCCAGGACAAGCTAGATGGGGATGAAGAGAAGAGCAAGCAAGGCAAGAGAAATCTCATGCAGAACATTAAGCCATTAACTATGGTTTACAAGTATCTCCTTTGAGAGTTCCATTCTGTTTTATTTCACGTCCCATAACGTCCATAAAGGTTGTCCATTCTTGACCCAGGATGAAAGGAAACAAATCCAACCAGGATTCTAAGTCAGTAATTGCTAAAGGTGGAGCAAGCCTCTATAATTTCCTGTTTCTCAACTCTTTCACACTGGCAAACACTAATGGGAAAGAGTGATTTGGAAATAAGCTGTAGCCATTGAACAATATGGATAACTATAGGGAAGAAGTCTATTTAAGGAACTGCTGACATCACCCCCACCCGGCAAACTCTACTCCATCCTGCCGAATCTTTGTGACAGCTGACTTTGTATGAAAGGGACACTCCTTCGCACGCCTAATTACCACAATCTGTGCTGCTCCCATTTATACCATGCATGTCACATCCTGCACAGAAGTGGGCAGAGCCACAGAGCTTGGCTCCAAGCCAGGTGGCTGACCAAGGTGAGGTGGCCCTCCCTCGGATTCACCAAACATTCTGGATTTCAAAACAAGCTGGATTTTTTTTAAAGCCATCTATTAATATATAGTTTCCGCAACTTTCCCAAACCTGGCGTCTTCCAGATGTGCTGGATTATAATTTGCATCACCACAGCTGTGATGGTTGGAGATGTTGAGAATTGTGCTCCAGTACAATTAGATGCCACGTGGTTGGAGAAGCCTGACTTATGGATCTCACTGTTATACCCCTGCAGACCACCATTGATAGATAACATCAAAGAAGATTTTGCATAAATGCTGACCTCCTCAGGGTCCTCTTTGAAGGTGCTATCTGGCTGCCATCTCTGTTGGGGTGGAGCCACGTGGATGGAGTCGAAGAGGGAATTAAGCGAGCCATTGTCATACATGTCTCCTGAAGTAATCATATAATTCTCAGGATTGCTCTCTAATTTGCTGGGACCTGGAGGCAGAGCTGGTGGCTTGTGAGGAGAGGAGAGCCCCTCAAAAGCTAAGCCGTTCTTCTTGGGCAAGTCCAGATATTCTTGGTTCACTGAAACGTTTTCAGCCAGAAGCTTCATGAGCTGAGCAGAACCTTCGAAGGAAGAAATCTCTGGTTCGTATTCCATCCCATGACAATGCCTAAAAGAGAAGAATAGAATAGAATTCTTTATTGGCCAAGTGTGATTGGATACCCAAGGAATTTGTCTTTGGTGCATATGGTCTCAGCATACATAAGGAGAATAAAACACATCCATCAAGAATAAAAAAATACAACACTCAGTGATAGTCAAGTTTACTAATAAGCTATCAAGTCGTACTAGTAAACAAATAAAACAATATAAATTGAAAGATACAAGCAACATGGTTATAATCACAAGAGATAGATACTAGGAAGGAAGAGAAGAAGAATAGTAATACATTCTTGGTAAATTAATGACAGTGTTGAGGGAATCATTTGTTCTTGTGTCTAATTGTTCTGGTGTGCAGAGCCCTATAGCGGCATTTTGAGGGTAGAAGTTGTAACAATTTATGTCCAGGATAGATATTTTCACAGCCCTCTTTTTGACTTGTGCAGTATACAGGTCCCCCATGGAAGACAGATTGGTAGCAATTGTTTTTCCTGCGGTTTTAATTATCCATTGAAGTCTTTTTTTTTTTTTGTCTTGTTTGGTTGCAGAGCCAAACCAGACAGTTATGGAGGTGCAGATGACAGACTCAATAATTCCTCTGTAGAACTGAATCAGCAGCTCTTTGGGCAGTTTGAGCTTCCTGAGTTGGCACACAAAAAAGATTCTTTGTTGTGCTTTTTTGATGACGTTTTTGATGTTAGGTGTCCATTTTAAGTTTTGAGATATGATAGAACCTAGAAACCTGAAGGTCTCTACTGTTGATACTGTATTGTCTAGTATTGCAAGAGGTGGAAATATGGGAGGTTTTCTTCTAAAATCCATCACCATTTCTATGGTTTTGAGTGTATTTAGTTCAAGATTGTTCTGGCTGCACCACAGAAGGGGGGACTAGGCAAAAGGATTTAGTAACACAAGACCAACAGAAGGACATTTAATACAGGAATCTGCAGAGTGGGAGTTTACCAGGGCTAACCGTATCTCCATTTGGTAACGATAATCAGAACTTGATCGAATTGTTTTGTTCTCTACTAGGAATAGCAAATGGTGTCCCATCACTGTTGCTGAACTACAGCATCCAAGATCCCTTGCAATTAGGCATGCAGAGTAGGACTGCTGGGCATTCAAATTCAGCAGCATCTGGCAAGCCAGAGAGATATACATCTTCTGCAATGGTGGGATCCTGCCAGTTTAACAACAGGTTCGGTGATCGTGTTTTGTGTGCGCGTGCAGAGTTTTACCAAAATTTACCTTCAACGTTACTGCCTGGGGAGTAACACAGCTGAGGCATGGCAATCCGCACTAATCAGCTGAGAGGATATAGGTAAGTAAAGTGCAAGGGCAGGCGGATGGGTCCACTTAATCGTCAGAGCGAACCGGTTCGCTCTCAGCTGATCGTCGGAGCTACAGTTTTGCCCGAACTAGTCCGAACCAACTGAATCCCACCCCTGATCTTCTGGAAGCCTAGTAAAGTTTTTCAAAACAACCTATTGGGTGCATAACCAACATTTCTTATCTGATGCTAGTCCAGAGATGGGAGCAAGGTAAGAAGAAGCCAAGCTACCACCTCAGCTTTCTGCTGCATCAGGAGCATCGTATAGGAGGCAACCACAGACCCCAAAGGCATGTGAATAGTTTTTTTCAGGTCTGTTTTGTTCGCCCCCAAATCTGTCATAACTTGTAACCTAACAAGACAATGTGGAGTCCAGCCCTCCCATTGTCTTCACCTACTGACACACCTTTCAATTATGTTTTTGAACTAAAGAAACAGATGTTTTGTAGCATGGATTTATGAAGTCCTCATCTGCTAGGAAAAAAAGGGATTTCCCCTCCCCCCTTTAAAGGAGTTTACAAAAAGGGGCAGAGATGTTTTCTTACCTCTTCCCAACTTCACTGCGCCCTTGTGTTCCAGATGGAAGGATTCGCTTTTCTTTTGGAACCTAGCAAAGGAGGAAAAACAATGAAAAATAAACATGGCCTGCAGATCAGGATGATGTTCCAGGTTGAATCTCTATTGTCTAATCAAGGGGTGTCAAACTCAATTTCATTGAGGGCCACATCAGGGTTGTATTTGACCTTGAAGGGCTAGGGCATGGCCATGGCCGGGATGGGTATGACCAGCTCAACACTCCTGTGAAAACAGGCTCCCAAACTCCGTTTTCAGCTGTGATGGCCTCCTGCAACCCTCTGCCAGTGAATATGGAGCTTGGAACCCGTTTTTGCTAGCAGAAGCACTGCGGGACGGTCCTTCACTGTTTCCAGGGCGGCTCTATGGGCCAGATCTAAGTACCCTGGGGGGCAGATATGGCCCCCAGGCCTTGAGTTTGACACCTCTGGTCTAATCACAATGGTTGACAAAATTGCATTCAACCTGGTGACCAAATTAACCATATTTTCTAGTTTCTGCAACACCCTCAGCTATAAATACAAACCAGATGGATTTGCATGACACTCCAAGGCAGTGTTTCCCACATGAAGACTTGAAAATGTGTGGATTTCAGTTCCCAGAATTCCCCAGCCAGCATCCCCTGTTCCCTTGAAGTTACCAAAGTTGAGAAACACTGCTTTAGCATCGTGTTTATGTGCTTCAATAGCAATGGCTTCTGTTCAGTGGGTATTTGGGGACTTGACAGGTTTGCTGTGGCAGCCATTTTGTGAGTGCACCCACCAGATTATCCCAACCCTGCATCAGAGGTGGTATTCAGCGGGTTCTGACCAGTTCTGGAGAACCGGTAGTGGAAATTTGGAGTTGTTAAATGTAAATGCCACCTCTGACTGGCCCTGCCCCCATCTATTCTCTGCCTCCCAAGTCCCAGCTGATCAGGAAGGAATGGAGATTTTACAGTATCCTTCCCCTGCCATGCCCACCAAGCCACACCATGCCCACCAAGCCATGCCCACAGAACCGGTAGTAGAAAAATTTGAATCCCACCACTGCCCTGCACCCAGATTGCTCTTCATACCATATAGTAGTCATAGAGGAGGCTCAGGGCTGCTACGCTGTCATCATCCCCATTTACTCTCATCATGGCCTTGGTGGCTGCTGTTAGAGGATTCTCCAGATAACTCTTCCAAGCTTCGTCTTCGTTCATATAGGAGTACTTCTGCAAGCCCATCCCATCGTTTTTCAGAAGACGCACAGACATGAAGCTGAATGGGAACACAAAGAGGCACGTTGTATTGAGACATTTCTTTGCAACCATCGGTTTTAGCAAAATACACAGAAAATTACAAAACTCATATCAGTTCAATACATCCTCTCTAATACGAGCAGCAGTATTTGTCAGGGTGTGCTCTGCACGCTGTCTTGTTAAGTTGTTTCGTTTTACATATTTGTCTTCATCGGACAACGAAAAATAGATTTTATCTTCTAAATTACTGTAGACTGATTTAGTTGGATTAACAAGGGAGTAATGAATCTAGCTCTAATTTGAAGCTCTAAGTGAAATGTTAGTACTACTTTATAATGCCTATAATATTCCACACTTGGAATATTGCATCCAGTTTGGATCGCCACAATATAAAAAAGATGTTGAGACTCTAGAAGAGTGCAGAGAAGAGCAACCAAGATGATTAGGAGACTGAAGGCTACAACACATAAAGAACGGATGCAGGAATTGGTTATGTCTAGTTTAATGAAAAGAAGGGTGACACGCTAGCAGGGTTCCAATATCTAAGGGGCTGCCATAAAGAAGAGGGGGTCAACTTATTCTCCAAAGCACCTGAGTATGAAGCAATGGATGAAAAGTAATCAAGGACAGATCCATGCCAGATTTAAGGAGAAATTTCCTGATCACAAAAACAGTTAATCAGTGGAACAGCTTGCCTGAAGAAGCTGTGGTGTTCCATCACTTTGAAAAGAGATTGGACCTTGAACAGAGGTTTGGACTAGAAGTTCTCCAAGGTCCCTTCCAAATCTGTTATTCTATTACGTTTCTGATGATGTTTGCAATATAAGATATAATGGATCAAATGTCCCACCGAGAGTCCCACTAGCCTCTAGGATGTTTCCAAGGGGAAGCTGAACCAGAGAAACAAATTTGGATAGCTCCTTACAGAAAAGTTATTGGGATCTTGTGGTAAGATACCAAAAACTGAATAGGTGCATCAAATGAGTAACCCTATTCTCAGTCTGCTCTCATCCCTTCCTTTGCTTGCCCGTTCCTGCATGTTCTCACAGTCATAGATTATGCAATTTGTTGTGTTTTTATTGTTTTATCTTTTAATTGTGAGGTGCCCTAGGAGTTCTAGATGGGTGGGATTTTATCTTTGGTTAAAAGCAAACAAGCTATTAGCGAAAGTTAAGATTTCGTCCTGAAAGACAGTCTGGATCCAAATTGGGTGGCTGTGGCTCCCTTTTGGGAAAGCCTCTGTACTGAACTAATGGTAAATCTGTTGAGCAACAATGACAAACCGAAGACATTTCTGTCATGTCTTTCAGTAAAAGAACTTTCAAGATGTGTAGGCTAAAACAAACTACAGCAACAAAAGAAGTGATTAAGGACTCCACCAGCCGTCAGAAGAGACAGACAATAAAATTTATCTGCCTCAAATTCATGCAAGAGAACCACAATTAAAATAGCACTCAAGGATTATTCACGGAAACCTTTACATCAGGGGTGTCCAAACTTGGGAACTTTTAAGATTTCCCTGCATGGGGGAATTCTGGGAGTTGAAGTCCACAAGTCTTAAAGTTCCCAAGTTTGGACACCTCTGCCTTACAGAATAAAGCTGGGGTTTGCAAGAGAGTTGAAAAAATAAATAAAGCTAATATAAAATACAAACCGTTCTTGAGGAATAAAAAAAAATTACAGTTCAGGGGCCAAATTCAAGAAGTCTCTGTTAACTGCCCAATTCTAGAAGAAGGTCTCTAATGACAATTAAAATAGTAGACATGTTTTTATGTATTGCATAATGTTGTAGATCAAAGCCAAGTTGAATTGTGCTCTGGAAGAAATCTAACAACCTTACTGAAAAAAATACAAGGGGGGTGTCCCTTTTTTCTTTATGTTTTCTTTCTTTTTTTTTTAAATCATCCCATCCCCCAAAAAACTCAAATCACAACCAATTTTTGGCAGTCTAATCTGAGCCCTTCCAAGCACCACAGTTTTCCAATCTTGTTCTAGAGGGGGGTCTTCCCCCCAGGTGAAGATTATGTTTGGGCACTGATACCTTCCATAAGAAGGACACAGTGGCTCAGTGACTAAGACGCTGAGCTTGTTGATCAGAAAGGTCGGCAGTTTGGTGGTTCGAATCCCTAGCGCCGCATAACGGAGTGAGTGCCCGTTAGTTGTCCCAGTTTCTGCCAACCTAGCAGTTTGAAAGCACATAAAAAAATGCAAGTAGAAAAATAGGAACCACCTTTAGTGGGAAGGTAACAGCGCTCCAT